TGACTTCACATGCAGGGTGTTCTACCAGAGATAATATAGTCTTCATGTGTTCAAGCAACAATAATGCCCTGTTACTTTATTGGAATAATATCTTATTGGTCTCTTGCACAGGGTCACAATGTACAGTGGGTGGGTGCACAGTGTATATTATGTCTGTTGCCCATAGGAATGCATTACAGAAAACGCCATGTGCATTTAACCACCGGCACCCTTGTATACTCATGCATGTGTATAGGCGTATTTTTCAAAACATAAAATTTTAAGTTTTTAAAAAATATAAGTCCACACCAGTGTCGGTAACAGGTGCACAGCCCTTTCCATAACACAATCCTATGGACAAAGATACTTCTGCTGTGACATTGAACATCAATTCAGAAGCATATGTGCATCTGTGTCTAGGTATCTGTGTGTCTGATTAAGGTAACCACCTTTGCAATCGGGGCTGTATTACAATCACTGGCATTGTCCTCCTGTCATTGTATACTCGTCACTATTGAATTTTGGGCACCCTATGTGTAAGGGGGTGTTAGAGCCAATCTCAGTTTGGCCATTAGGTGGTGACCTCCCTTAAGAGACCTGGATTGTGAGAATTCAGAAAGTTTTGCGGAGACATAGAACAGCTAGGAGGTAGTTTTTTTTTATGGTTGAACTGGATGGACTTTTGTCTTTTTTCAGCCAGACCAACTATGTAACTATATAAGTTGTTAGACCCCCATGGAACTAGTAGGAGGCCCTATTTTCAGCCATGTGGCCCTAGCGGTGTTAGGTGTTTCCTGGATGGGGAATGTCTGAAGAGGTCCTTCTTCCCTAGTTGAGAGTAGTATTAGGGACAGTACAAGTATGCTTCCATGAGGAAGGTTCCACCAATCACTGCAGGAATTATGAGAATTTGCCTATTCTGATCTGGTACCTGGTTCAGGTGGGGCAAATAGTAGGTGAAGCGTTGTGGCTTGGTAATGTACATGTGGTATTGAACTGTACAGCTGTTATCCACTTGAAGACCCGCTAATGTCCTTTTACTTTATGGGTTTCAAGTGGTATACCGGTTTGACCCCAGCTGCAGGCATTATCCCAGTATCCCATTTTGTGGCTGGCTTTTTCTATAAAAGCCATCCGCGTGGCTAATTAGTCACTGGATGGCTTTTACAGGCAGCGAGTGGGGCTGGCCGCCAGCCAGTGCCTCTCGTCCCACCGGAGATCCCAGAACTGAAGCCGACAGCTCCACCAGCTTACCATGGAGTCACCGGAGGACCGGAAGGTCTCTGATGACCTCTAGGATACTGGAAACTAGAAGCATTGTGTACTATTGTCACTTCCGGTTTCCAGGGAAATACACGGCGCCATTTTTAAATCTGGAAAGTATCTGATCTCACTGATCTTGGTGTGAACAAATGCTTTTAAGGCAGAGGAGAGGTCCACAGATATGTCCATAAAGAGTACCTGTCACTGCTGATTGTTGTCACAGCAATTAAAGTGATCAAAAGTGATTAATTTTACACTGGTTCTTTAAATAAGTTGCTATGGACTGAGAAGGCTCTTATATGGTCTCAGGGTACAGGCCATTCCCCTGTCCTGGAGTGTGAGCCTTGAGAAAAGTGGCCTCTAGTACTGTGAAGTGTTTTGGAGTATCCCCTACCCTAACCCCTCTCCTGTTTAAGGTTCTACAAGCAATACATTTCAGAAAGACATCTCCTAGACTGAATTATGGGAGCCGGAGTGTATGGACTAGTGCATGTGGTGGGCAGTCTCTGTACTATAATGGAAAAACCAACTATTACCAGTAGAGTGTGTTTCTTTTCATAACGCAATGATTTACAGAATTTTCAAGGATTCGGATGTATACAAATCTCCAAATGGACATAAATACAAATGTCAACAAATATAAAAAAAAGGTATAACGAAATGACCAAATGCAGTTATTTCATTCGGATGACGTCACATGATGCGATAGTGGGGGAATTAATGTAATTTTGAAATTCAAATAAATCAAAAAGGTGTTGTGCAATAAGACATTGTATAGGAATGTGTCTACCTTATAACCGAATACCAAATAATTTCAAGATAATATAATACCAAAATAATATGTTATCAATACTCACCAGCAACTTGCACATCAAAAATAAAAAACAGTGTAAAAAAAGCGAATTGTAGAAAGCAAGTGCACAGTGAAAATAGTGACTGCAGAAACATTCCATATGAACTGCAGTCCTCAGTGTGGTAAAGTAACATCCAAATGTGAAAAGGACATCCAAGACATCCTTCACCAATATGCGCTCGCCAGAATTAACATCAAATCAGCTTCAAAAATGACATTCCAAGACAATCAATACTCCTCCTCTTGGCACTGTTTCAGAGCCACATAGAGGTACATAGTGTAGTAATTTATTAAGATCAAAAAATAAACACACAATCCACGTGGAAATAAAACTACGGCCAAACTTGCAAAGATGGCTGCCGGACCAGGCATGGACTCGATGGCGTGATGGCAGCACATAGGCTCCTCCCTGACATGTTTCGTGAACAAGCACGTTCTCAAGGAGAACTGCCTCCTGCTGATGCCATCCATTTATCTCCTTAAATAGCGCACAACCGCGCACTCTAATTTTTTTGTAGAATAGAATACACTGCCATCACAGCGTGGACCAAAGCTTACGCATGCGTAATTTAACATGCTCCATTTTTTTGTGGACCATAAATCCCTAATTTCTGTGTTAGTGTCCCCATTCTCAAAAGGAGCGTATCCACAAGACCCAGTCTTTTCTGACACGTTTTGTTTACATTTACAAATATGTATTTTTTGCTAGAAAGTAGCACCCAGGGGTGGACTGACCATTTGGAAACTCGGGCACTGCCCGAGGGCCCGGGGTCAGTAGGGGGCCCCATGAGATTCCCCTGGTACCTTTTTCATAGGCTTTTTTGAGTTTGGGCAAGGACACAGGGGCTGCCCCATGATCCCCTATTGCCCAGGGGCCCCATGAGTTGTCAGTCCGGCTCTGGTAGCACCTTTTAGATATATTTTTATTTGTTTATGTGGTGGGTTTATAATATGTGCTAGCTGCTCTCAGATCTCCAAGTGCTCACTTTATCTTTGTTTTTCAACTTTGAAATTCGTTTAATAATTCGGATAACGAATGCATCTGAATTTCGCTCCATTTATTAATTTAGATGCACATTACGCCAGTCGATATTGTCCAATCTGCTCAAGCCATTTCTCTTGGTGCCTCAAAAATTTCAAAACCTTTCAAATAGTTTGATTTATGAATAACGAATCCACCCAAAATATCAAAACAGTTTTCTGAAAAAACTGCAAATTTTTCCAATCCACCCACACCAACGAATATACAAAATGAATGCTAAAGATACGGAACAAATTCCAAAAATGAATTGTTTAACATAACAAATATGACGAATCGAAGTTCTTCAATGAACGAATGCATCCAACAAACATTTCTGGTGTGCACATGTCTAATTACCATCAGCCCCTGTGGGGGTAGCTGTACATCTATGTGCCCTTGTATTGATCTATGCAGATCAGCGCAGCTCAACGTAGATGCTGTGACCAAGCCCTAAATGCAAAATTGTATTTTTTGGCTGGAGTGTACCTTTAACAGTTGGTACCTTTTTCTTTTGCATGCCATGAAAATATTTGCTTTTATGTTGACTCTACGGATATATCACTGCCTTGTACATAGACTTTATTTTATAAGATAAGGTACCAGGTAAAGAACTTGTACAGGATCGCACAATGCACGCTTGCTGTTAGCAAAAGAGGCGATTTTAGAGCTCCTTGATAAAAAAAAAAGTAAAAAGAAACGCACAGTTTGTGTGAATTATCTCTATAAATCCTGGATAGCAGAGTTTATTCCGCTGATAAAGTCATTTCATAGCACGAGATTTGGATAATGGAAAGTCTAGCTGCTCAACATGTAAGCACTTTTCAGGTCATAAGTTAGAGATAATGGATGTAAGAGGATATATATAAGAAAATCTTTTTGCTCACTTAGTTATTTTTTCAAAAGTTATGAAGCCAGTTTTCATTTCATTACTGAAATTATTTTTTTTTCTTAAACTGTATTTTCACTTTTGCAGTAAGAGTTGAGAAACCCCCACTTTATGTTTGTTATGTGTTCCCATTAACCCAGCATACCTAAAAATATGTTTTTTTTTAACAATTACCCATTTATTTTGGAGGTTTGCTTGAAGTAGGACTCTGGGCAGATTGCAAAATATTTGATATGAGAGAAAGCTCCATCTGTCCCCATAGACAAGAAGGACACTCTGGCAAAGTGAAGCTTTAGGTCTTTAACCCTTTGTTGGGACAGACAGTGTTCAAATCTAGTTTGCAACTGATAATGAGATCTGCTAGCACAGTACAGACATCGTTAATGATAGAAAACATTAACTCCTTAGTCTGACATTTTTTGCTGGCTGATAGCTTAACAGAGTGGGAAATTGGAGTGGAGATTAAAAAAAGTTTTACTTTTGACTGCAGGTGCTTGTAGTTGTTTTATTTTTTTTGTTTGGGTCTTGTTAAAAGTTTTTACTTTTTTAAATCACTTTTCTGTCACTTTTTGATTAGCATTTTTTTTCTTCCTTTCTTTGCCTTCCTTCAGTATGCTAATTAAGGGGAGGGGTTAATTGGTCACAGGTGATATAGGTACTATATAATTTGCTGTAGAGCACACATTTACCGTATTTTTCGCTCCATAAGACGCACCTGACCATAAGACACACCCAGGTTTTAGAGGAGAAAAACAAGAAAAAAAATATTCTGAACCAATGGACTGCAGACACAATACAGGAGATGTCCAGAGACTGCGGACACAGTACAGGAAATGACCAGAGACTACGGACATAGTACAGGGGATAACCAGAGACTGCGGACACAGTACAGGAGATGACCAGAGACTGCGGACACAGTACAGGAGATGACCAGAGACTGCAGACACAGTACAGGAGATGACCAGAGACTGCGGACACAGTACAGGAGATGACCAGAGACTGCGGACACAGTACAGGAGATGACCAGAGACTGCGGACACAGTACAGGAGGTGACCAGAGACTGCGGACACAGTACAGAAGGTGACCAGAGACTGCGGACACAGTACAGGAGATGACCAGAGACTGCGGACACAGTACAGGAGATGACCAGAGACTGCAGACATAGTACAGGAGATGACCAGAGACTGCGGACACAGTACAGGAGATGACCAGAGACTGCGGACATAGTACAGGAGATGACCAGAGACTGCGGACACAGTACAGGAGATGACCAGAGACTGCGGACGTAGTACAGGGAATGACCAGAGACTGCGGACACAGTACAGGAGATGACCAGAGACTGCGGACACGGTACAGGAGATGACCAGAGACTACAGACATAGTACAGGAGATGACCAGAGACTGCGGACACAGACTGCGGACATAGTACAGATGACAGAGACTGCGGACAGTGCAGGGACTGCGGAGACTGCGGACGCAGAGACTGCGGAGACTGCGGACATAGTACAGATGACAGAGACTGCGGACAGTGCAGGGCATGACCAGAGACTGCGGACCTTTCGAGAGGGATGGGGAAGGGGTGTCTGAATTTGAAAGGTACCCGCTCCCACTTCCGCGGAGTTGTCCTTCCTTCTTCTTCCCACGGCGGCTTCTGTGACAGCTGGGTGCCCACTGCGCATGCGCGAGAAGTGCTGCGCTTTGTGAATGGCCCGGAGCCTTCTGGGACCTGTCATGTGTCCCAGAAGACGCCGGACCATTCGCAAAGCGCAGCGCTTCTCACGCATGCGCAGTGGGCACCCAGCTGTCACAGAAGCCGCCGCGGGAAGACTGCAGCGCTGTAGTGAGGAACAGGTAAGGTCCTGCAGGAGAGAAGAGCTGAGCGGCCGACCCGGTATTCTGACATGGTGGTGCAAAAATACCGGACCGGCTGCTTTACATTCGCTCCATAAGACGCACTGACATTTTCCGCCCTTTTTTTGGGGGAAAAAAGTGCGTCTTATGGAGCGAAAAATATGGTATGTCTGACATTTTTTGCTGGTTGATATCTAAAAAGGGTTGGAAACTTGCGTTGAGAGTGAAAAAATTTTACTTTTGACTGCTGGTGCTTGTAGTTGTTTTATTTTCTTTTTTGGGTCTTGCTAAAAGCTTTTTCTGTCACTTTTTAAAGTGTTTTTTCTTCTTCTTCCTTTCCTTGTCTTCCTTCAGTCTGCTAATTAAGGGGAGGGGTTAATTGGTCACAGGGGATACAGGTCCTATATAACTTGCTGTAGAGCTCACTCTGAGCTTGCCTGTATTTTGCTTGCTGGACATTTAACTAAGTGGACCTTGATAAGTGGAGTTACAAAACCAGAGTAGAAAACAGAAGATTATAACAGGAGACTACTAATCTGTAGGTGACAACTCATATTTCCTGTTAATATTGTAACAGGAAAGACAGGGGAGATTAGAGAACTCAATGCATAGCTGAAGACCTGGTGTAAGAGGGAAGGATTTAGGTTTCTAGAGCACTGGGCTGACTTTTCATTGGAGTGCAACCTATATATGCTAGAGATGGGTTGCACCTAAATGGAAGGGGGTCTGCTGTGCTGGGGGAGAGGTTTATGGAAAGGCTGGATGAGTATTTAAACTAGGATTGAGGGGGGAGGGAGAATTAGATTATAGCGGGGTAGACAGATCAGACAGGGGTCAGTACTTATTGATGGGTGGAATGGGGAAAGATGGGGGGGGAAGGCTATGGCAGATGATAAGAAGGTTCCCATGTTACAAACAACCAGTGGAATTGGTACCATTTGTAGGAAAATAAAAAATATGCAAAATACATGTGCACAAAGTGTCAAAGTGTTTGTTCACCAATGCCAGAAGTCTGCCAAGCAAAATAGGTGAGTTGGAAGCTTTGTTGCATGAAGAGAACTATGATTTAATTGGTATTGCTGAATCTTGCCTAAATTCTTCACATGACTGGGCCATCAATATTCCTGGCTATGTTCTTTTGGAATGACAGGGTAAAAAGGAAAGGTGGTGGTGTCTGTCTCTACTGTATGTGAGAAGTGATCTCAGAGCCAGTATGGAAGAGGACCTAGTTGATGAAGAGTGTGATGAGGCTGAAGCATTATGGGTGGAACTGCACATTGGGGTGCGTACTACAAAGGTAATCATTGGAGTTTGTTATAGGCCTCCCAGTGTTAATGAGGAGGTGGAGACTCAGCTCCTTGCATAGATCGAAAGGGCTGCAAGGGCTGGGACAGTGATAATAATGGGGGATTTTAACTACCCGGAAATTGACTGGAGTAATGGTACTGCAGGAACAGTTAAAGGGCAAACATTTTTAAACCTACTACAGGACAATTTTATGGTACAGTTCATAGAGGCCCCAACTAGGAATGATGCTCTGCTGGACCTAGTAATCTCAAACCATGCAGAGCTTATTACGAATGTCCATATAAAAGAACATCTGGGTAGAAGTGACCATAACAGGATTTCATTTGTTAGCTGTAAACTACAAGCACATATGGGAAAAATAAAAACGTTCAATTTTAAGAGAGATAATTTTCCAAGGCTAAGATCTGCTCTCCATGACTCAGACTGGGAGGGAATATTGGCATCAATGTACACAACACAGAAATGGGAGTTCTTCAAATAGACTGTATATGAACACACTGCAAAATATATTTCCATGGGTTTAAAAAGCTAAAAATGAAACTTATGTTGTTTACGGCCAAGGTTAAAAAAGCTATAGATAATAAGAAAAGAGCTTTTATTAAATATAACAATGAAGGAATGCTATCATCGTTTAAACATTACACAGAATGTAACAGAATATGCAAAAAGAAAATAAAGCCCGCAAAAATTGAAAATGAACGACAGATTGCGAAAGATAGCAGGACCAACCCCAAAAATTTCTTCAAATATATTATTAGCAAAAAGGTCCGGTCCAAGCATGTAGGCCCTTAACAAAATAATCTAGAGTGGGTGACTGGGGAGAAAGAGAAGGCAAATTTATTACAAGGAGCATGGGGGAGCTCTTGTCCATAATGGGCATGGCATTGGCACAGCTCCAGATGATCCACATTGGCTCACAATTGATATGATCAAAAACTATTTAGACAGAATAAAGGTGAATAAATCACCTGGACCGGATGGCTTACACCCACGGGTCCTTTCTAAGCCATTGTTTCTAATTTTTAGGAACTCTTTAATGACTGGCATAGTACCACTGGATTGGCGTAAGGTCAATGTGGTGCCAATATTTAAATAGGGATCAAAATCTTTACCAAGTAATTATAGACCTGTTAGTTTAACATCTATACTTGGGAAGATACTGGAGAGTTTTAATAAAAGACCACATAGATGATTTCTTGCTGGAAAAAAATATTTTAAGCAACAGACAGCATGGATTCATGACAGACAGAAGATATCAAACAAATTTGATTTATTTTTATGAGTAGGTGAGCAAAACCTTGGACAGAGGGGTGGCGGTGGGCATGGTATACTTGGACAGAGGGGTGGCGGTGGACGTGGTATATAGTTGGTATAGTTTTTGCAAAAGCGTTTGACACAATTCCCCACACACAGCTAATGTGTAAGGTAAAGTCTACAGGCCTGGAAAAATCCGTATGTTAATGGATAGAAAACTGGCTAAAAGATCGAGAGTAGTGGTTAATGATTCATACTCTGAATGGTCTAGGGGTGTCAGTGGTGTACCCCAGGGTTCAGTGTTGGGACCCTTACTTTTTAATATATTTATAAACGATATAGGGTCTGGGATTAAAAATCCCATTTCAGTCTTTGCAGATGACACCAAGCTGTGCAGTGGAATAACGTCCTTACAAGATGTCTCCAACTTACAAGTCAACCTCAATGCTCTGTGTAATTGGGCAACTATGTGGCAAATGAGGATTAATATTGATAAATGTAAGGTTCTGCACTTGGGGAATAAGAATATGCATGCATCATACATACTGGGGGGGTACACCTGGGGGAATCAATGGTGGAGAAGGATCTGGGAGTTCTGGTAGATCAAAAGCTTCATAATGGCATGCAATGCCAAGCTGCTGTTTCTAAAGTGAGCAAAATCCTCTCTAAAAGAGGTATAGACTCCAGAGAGAGAGAGATATCATTTCCCCCGGTACAAATCATTAGTAAGACCTCATCTGGAATATGCAGTTCAATTTTGGGCACCAATTCACAAAAAGAACATTGGGGAACTGGAGAAAGTACAGAGAAGAGCAACCAAACTGATAAGAGGCATGGAGGAGCTCAGCTATGAGGAAAGATTAGAGGAACTGAATTTATTCTCTCTTGAGAAGAGGAGATTAAGGGGGGATATGTATAAAAACATCAGTGGTTTATATAGTGAACTCGGTGTAGAGTTATTCACCCTGAGGTCATCACAAAGGACAAGGGGACACTCTACGTCTGGAAGAAAAGAAATTCAATATCCAAACACGGAAAGGTTTCTTCACAGTAAGAGCTGTGAAAATGTGGAATAGACTCCCTCAAGAGTCGGTTCTGGCCAGTTTAGTGGATTGCTTTAAAAAAGGCCTGGATTATTTCTTGGATACACAGAAAATAACTGGATACTATTTATAGGTAAAGTTGATTCAGGGAAATCCAATTGCCTTCCCCTCAGGGGATCCCCCTGCAGGAGCAAATTGGATCGTACTTTGCTGGGTTTTTTGCCTTCCTCTGGATCAACTGTGGGTATAGGATTATAACTTTTTTTTTTAATGGTTGAACTGGATGGACTTTTGTCTTTTTTTCAGCCAGACTAACTATTTAACTATGTAACCCCACTCATAAACATAGAGGAAGGGAAGCTAAGTAGAAATTTCGGTCCTGGAGTTTTACAGAACAGAGCATTAAAAAAGGCAAGCAGCTTTTTTTAAACAATAATTTATAATGTCACATCATGCCAAACTTCTGATCTCTTACTTGTTATTCTATGCTAAAAAGGATATGTTGTTATATGGTTCTCATCAGCTCCCCCTGAACTGTCTGCCTGGAAGGCCTTAGTGGATGCAGGTTTGCCGATCTATATAAACTTACCTATATCAATCGTGGTTGCCCTTGGAAGCATGATAAGTTATTGGGCTCCATGGACATCTGATCAGTGATTCTGCCTCCCTCCCCCTATTCTTGGGTTGTCTTCCCTCATCCTACCCCCCTTTTTTTCCTTCGCTCATACCTCCTTACCCCCGTCCCTTCCCCTCCCCCCCCTTACCTTTTTCTTTCTTTTCCCAGGAATATGGCAGTGCCCCCTACCCTCCTGCTCTTTTGTTTGATATTTTGCCCCTGCCTACATGGCACGGTTTCATAGAAGACTGTAGGTCTTCTGTTTTTTGTACCTTGGTTGTGATTGTGATATGCTGCCTATGGCCTCTGTTTAATATTTGTCTGTCCATTTATTGTGCTGTATAGTTGGACTGTCCTACCTGTTGCCACTTATCCAGTGATTATTGCTGGCATTGTACCATGTTGTCTTGAGTATTTATGCCGTACTGTGAGTTTGATTTCAATAAAGCACTCCTTTTTGTTAAAAAAAGAGAAATATATAATA